TGTCGGTCTGGAGACTAAGGTGCACCTGATCCAGGCCATACACTTTACAATTACTTGCTATGCATCAGAAAGTTGAACAATAACTAGGCGTGATAAAAGGAGAATTAATGCTTTGAAAAGTGATGTTGAAGAGTATTGAATATACCATGGACTGCTAAGAGAAAAAAAAAACAGTTTGCCCTGGAGAGGGTGAGACCAGGCTGCTACTTGGAGGTATGGATTTTGAAGCTTTGTCTGACATATTTTGGACATGTTGCAAGGAGGGACCAGTCCTTGGAGAGGGATGGCATGCATTGGAGGTTGGAGGGACAGCGCAAGAGAGGAAGACCCTAGATGAGATGGATTGATTCAGTGCCTTCAGGGTGACAGGGTAAGTCTGTCAGAGACAATAAGATTGGTACATTATAGAACAGGGTTTAGGGCTGTGTACATAGGGTCGCTTTAAGTGGAGGCAACTTGACAGAACATAATAACACCAATAACATTTAAGCTAAAGGGATATCTGGTGGCCTAGTGGCAAGAAACTGTGCTGCAATCCCAAAGGCACAAGTTTTGAGGCCACCAGCTGCTCTAAGGGAGAAGGATGGGCACTCTCCATCCAATTAACTGCCTCTGAAAACTCACCAGACAGTCAGGTATGGGTTGGTTCTAACTCAACAGTACACAACAACAGTTACGCTAAAGGAATAGTGTAAAGGAGTTGCACTGCCAAACCCAAAGATACTTGATTCAAATCCACCAGCTACTTTGTAGAAGGATGGACATGCTCACTTGTGATTTATAGCCTTTGAAAACCCACTAGACAGTCAGCTATGAGTCAGTTCTACCTTAAAAGTTCAAAACAATGATAACAATAATTAAGCAAAACTCTTGTTTGGTTTTAAGAAGGTTTCAGGGCAAGCTTTGGTGGCCTAGTGTTAAGAAGCTGCACTGCAATCCTGAAGGCCCCCAGTACAAATCTGCCAACAGCTCTGCTCAGAAGGATGGATGTTTTCCTCCTATGGTATTTACTACCTCTAAAAACCCTCTTGGAGAGTCAGCTTTGGGTCAGTTCTGACTCTACTGCACACAACAACAACCACCACAACAACATCCTGTCTATTTCTCTGAATATTATTAGTTTCAAAGAAATCGCCTTTGGAGACCTATGGTAAGGAGAAATAGGAGCTATAGATCTATCACAGTGATTAAATGTTTTTAAAAATTTGTAACCTTCTCAATTTGTCATTCACAATTGTGATAAGCAGTGACACTGAATCCTCAAGATTCTATGTTACTATTTTAGGATTCATTTTGATGCAAGAGCTGGGCACCTTGTGAGCCTTTCTGCATCTATCCTTTTTTAATTTTTTTAAATATTGCTCTGATTTATTTGTAAAGTTTGAATACATTGTTTTTCACAGAAGATCCTTCCCATTTCCTTCACCCCACCCATCCAATTATGCAACCCTACCCCCGCCCCCCATCTTCACCCCTCTGCGTTTTTTCTTTATGGGACTCAAGAGAAAGGCAGAGTAAGGCAGGTTTAGGACAGAATTTTGGCTTTCAACATTATTCTTAGTCTTGGAAATGTCTTTCTTATCTCTACATCTCTCTATAAATTCTTTTACAATCAAATTAATAACAACTTGAAAGATTAGATAGGAAATAAGGGGCCAGTGAGCTTATGTTAATGGAGATAAGACAGCTCAGAAAAGTAGGATGAGAATGAATACACAACTTAGAGAATGTAATTGGTATTACTGAATTGTACATGAACTGGTGTATGTTTCAACAAACAGACACAAAATAAAAAGTTTTTAAAATATACGCAAGATTGTGTGTATATCCCTTATAAAATTAAAATTTAATCAGTTTGTGTTCCCGCATTTCCATGTGGAAAAGAAAGAACATTTTCTCCATGTAAAATAGTTAAAACTTCTTTATACTTCTCAACTCCTACAAAATATTGTGTACCAATGAGCAAGTTTTTCTTTTGCTTTTCAAGGAGAGGAGCAGATGGGGGGGTTGGGGGGAGGGGTTTGTGCGGGGAGAAGGGTGCAACAATGAATGAATGGAATCCCAAAATCT